GCAGCCCGTCTCCGCCCCTGCCAAGCCCGTGAAACGCCAGGGCGGGCGGCGTCCCTGGGACGGGCGACCCGGGGGTCTTGGATCCGGCTCTTCAGGAGATGGTGACCACACCACTGGAGAAACCTTTGTTCCTGTTTTTTTCTGTTCCGCCACTGGCTACCCAGCCAGTGGTGCCCAAAACCTCAACAGAAGAGCAGTTTCCTTTGCCTCCGGGTCCCAAGAGGGCGAGGACGGCGGTGCACGAGACCAGTCTCCACACGGCCGTCCCCCTCTCCCTTCGCTAATGGGCAGGAGGGTTCAGTTCAAGGACGCTACGCCTCCTCACGAGCCCCCTGCCCAGCTGTGGAGCCAGGTAAGTGGCGCGCCGCGCACTCAGACCCCACCCTGCGGAGATCGCGGTCCTGCTAGCGAAGGACGCGATACAGCCGGTCCCTCCAGCCGAGATGAGGTCAGGTTTCTACAGCCCATACTTCATCGTACCCAAGAAAGACAGTGGGTTACGACCAATCCTGGACCTGCACGTGCTGAACGGGCCCTTCACAAGCTCCCGTTCAGGATGTTGACGCAGAAACGCATCTTTCAATGCGTCCGTCCTTTCGATTGGCTCTCAGCGATCGACCTCAGGGTCGACTGGGAAAAGAGCAAACTCTCCCCGGTGCAGAGGATCTCTTTTCTCTCAGGAGAACGTGCACAGTCGATGCTGAACTGTCCTTCCAGTGCAAGATGGCGGTTCCACTGAAATAGTTTCAGAGGCTCCTGGGGCATATGGCATCCGCAGGCGCTGTGACGCCGCTCAGGTTGCTTCATATGAGACCGCTTCAGCGTTGGCTTCACGACCGGGTCCCGAGATGGGCATGGCGACACGGCACTTACCAGGTTTCTGTTACCCCGTTCTGCCGTCAGACCCTCAGCCCGTGGACAGATCTTGCCTTTCTTCGGACAGGGGTGTCCCTTGGGCAAGTATCCAGGCATGTTGTTGTGTCAACAGATGCCTCTGCCAGGGGCTGGGGTGCCATGTGCAATGGGAATGCAGCTGCGGGGCTCTGGTTGGGGCCC